CCCCACCCGCCACCCCTGCCTGACTGCCTGTTTTAGCTCATAAAATTCATACAAATTACTTCCGCCAGAATATAATTCTTATATTGCTGGAATTTTATATTCCAGGATTTATTTGAATATAAACATCATATATATTTTGCATTAGACATACAAATTTTTAGATAAAATTTTTCTCAGAGTAAATGGCCTGTAAAATATATGACACGAGACCAAAATATTCCTGGTCTTGTATGAATCCAGCAATGTCAATTATATTATCCTAACTTTAGTTTGAGGTATTATTTATTAAAATTTAGGCGTATATCCCACACATCTCCTTGGGACGGCAGGGGGTGGGGGAGGGAGGGACCCCAACCATCTGTTACCCCTGTAAGAATTTATTTTTTTTTATTAACTGAAGATATTTGTTTTAGCTCATAAACGTACAAATTACTCAAGTTCTGAATATAATTTATATTGCTGGAATTTATACTTGATGATCATTTGAAGTATAAACATCATATATTTTAAATAGACATACAAATTTTAGATAACAATTTTTCAAATTAACTGTTATCTTTTGTGCAAAATATATGACATTTATATTCAAAAATATTCCTGGTTCCATAAGGAATCCAGCAATGTCAATTATATTATCCTAACTTTAATCTGAGGTATTATTTATTACTAAATGTTAAAAACCCTCTTGGGAGGATTAGGGGTGGGGGAGGGTTGGGACCGACTGCTGCCGGTTGGAAGAGGGGGGAGGCAAGGTGGGGTAATTTTGATTGACAGATAGTGTCGTGAAGATTATTTTTTTTTATTAACTGAAGATATTTGTTTTAGCTCATAAAATTCATACAAATTACCCGGTCAGAATATAATTTACATTGCTGGAATTCTTATATCTAGATCATTTTATTGAGTAAACATCATATATTTTGCATTAAAACATACAAATTAGATAAAAATTTTTCTAGGTAACTATGTTATCTTTTAAAAAAATATATGGCATTTATATTCAAAATATTCCTGGTCTTACAAGGAATCCAGCAATGTCAATTGTATTATCCTAACTTTAGTTTGAGGTATTTATTAAAATTTAGTGGTTTTCCTCAAAAAATTTCTCTGAGAGGGAAGAGCTGCAGTGTAGTGTGAGAGGGGGGAGGTGGTTAAGTCCATTATTTGAATGGACATTAATCATGCATCAGTATTTCTTTCATTTCTTAAGTATTAATTGTGTGCATGTGTACCATCATAAAATTAAGATGTTATTTTAATACAACATAGGTATGTGCCTTCAAAAAGTGGGAGTTTGGGGTCGGGCCGGGTTTCTATTGGGAATTAATCCCATATATGTTCTGTTGTTCATTTAATCGCTGGATTTCACTTAACGCGGGACCCTCTGTTCACCTGACTGCTGCTAAGTACAACTGTATATATATATATATATATATATATATATATATATATATATATATATATATATATATATATATATATATATATATATATATATATATATATATATATATATATATATATATATATACCTAGACTCGACTTCACGCATCACGTGACTTCATTTAATTGCCGACTTACGCATCAGATATAGAAAAAAAAAAAAAAAAAAAAAAAAAAAAAAATTTAAATGACACGATTTTCTATATAAATTTAAACGTTTCCAGTTAATGTAGTTCCATGCATAATTAGAAAATTATAGCCCCATGTGCATTCAGCTGACTACATTAAAGGTTATGCCCAGTCACAATTGTATCCATTCCTATTATTTATTACTTACTGTAATTGTATCCATTCATCATTATTCATTACTTTACTGGTAATTTCTATTTCATTGTAGGATTTTTATTTTCCTTAAAAAAAAAAAAAAATTTTTTTTTTTTTTTTTTTTTAAATCTATGTCGGACTTACGACCTGAATTTGGTCCTAACCCCGTCGTAAGTCGGGCTAGGTGTGTGTGTGTGTGTGTGTATATATATATATATATATATATATATATATATATATATATATATATATATATATATATATATATATATATATATATATTGAGTCTGACTACCTGAAGATGTGAATTACATAAATGGGAACTTTGTATATATATATATATATATATATATATATATATATATATATATATATATATATATATATATATATATATATATATATATATATATATATATATATATATATATATATATATATATATATATATATATATATATATATATATATATATATATACAGTGGGGTATGCTATAATCTAACTTGATCCTACTACGTAATATTCTCTATAACAAACGGTTTTACCTATAAATTGAGAATGCTATAATCTAACTTAAACCTCTACAACTAACATTATTTATTTATTTATTTATTTATTTATTTATTTATTTATTTTATTTATTTTTTTTTTTACTAATTTATTGTTTATTTATTACAAGTATTAATGATACTCATTATTTCAGGGTTTAGATGCATATTTATCTTTTTTACAATTTTACAATTTTATATTATATTTTTCAGTGTTATGGTTGTATTGGGGGCGGAACGGATTAATCCTATAATCTATCTAATGCTATAATCTAACGCTGCTCTGAACCAATTAGATTCGTTATAGCATACCCAATTGTTTATATATATATATATATATATATATATATATATATATATATATATATATATATATATATATATATATATATATATATATATATATATATATATATATTTTTTAGTTGTACCGCTTAACGCGTTTCACTTAACGCATTTCTCATATACGGGTGTTCGCCAGAACCGAACTTTCACTTAACGCGTTCATCTACTCATATACGCAGGAAGCAGCGCGGGCACGACGCGCATACAAGGTCGCCCAGTCATCAAAGCATTACTGAGTTCTTTCACCTGCCACTCACCACAACCGCCCAAGTCAGTGATAGTGATAATTATAGTGAGGATATGGACTTATATGGACTTTGAGGGTTTGGACAAAGAGGGCCTCAAGCCTCTTGTGGTGGATAGTGATACAATTGATACAAGTGATACAGGTGAGGGCCAATAATCTGCCCTCTGCCTCGAACCAACCCCCATCCCCGTGTGCCCAGCCATCTTTTCTACTAATGTAAGTGTTAAAAAACTAATATTATTGATATTTCTCTTAATTATTAATTGTGTGTGCATACCATCATAAAGTTAAGATAATATTTTTACTACAACATAGTTGTGTGTCACAAAAAGTGGAGTTTGGGGGTCGGGCCAGTCTCTATTGGAATTAATGCTGTTGGAAGAACAGCACTGTGATCAATACATGATCAACTTAATCCTCTCGCATTCAGAAACATTATTAATTCTAATGTTTTGGGGAGAAAAGAGGGTAAAAAGCCACACAAAAGATATGAAAATGTCACACTTGGGAACCCATCTCATTATTTATTGCTTTATTTTAATGGTAATTAATGATTCGCGATACGGTGATTCACCTTACACTGCAATACTGGAGGACACATTACCATCGTTATTCGAGGCTTTACTGTATTCTAGGAAAAGCCAACAACGCTGTTGGAAAAACAGCACTGTGATCAATAAATGAACAACTTAATCCTCTCATGGTCTTTCGATGCCAATTGAGTCACTAACACTCCCACTCCCGTGCATGCGTAACCCCTCCTGCTCAGCTGTACCTCATGCTGAGAGCAACCCCCCCCTTAAGCAGAAACGCAGAACCCAAGTTCCTCCCACTAGTCTCGTGGGCTGGTAGATGCATCTCTAAGGGTGAAATCTTGTTAATGACACAACCTCGTTGAAAGACTGCTAGGGGGTGAGATTTCCAACCATGGCCAGGAGTACCAGAGGATTAAGTTGAAGATCATAAATAAATTGTGATTGGTACATGGTATGCCCACTGAACTTTAAAGACCAAAGAACTGAATATGCAAATACTTCCCTTTTTAAAATTATATTCTGCCTGTGTATTACTTTACCACAAAAGAGGATAATTCTTTTTTACATATTGTTAAGAAAAAATAGGTTATTAAATGGTTACAATTAGACAGGTGGAGAGATTCTAAGTACAGGTATTTAAATATTAAAACCGCTTGTTTTTTTTTTCTACTAAAAGTATACAGAATGTAATTTACAAACAGGTGAAAATACCGTAAATTATTTCAAGAAAACTGAAATTAATGAGGAGTTATTTATAAAATTATTTATTTATATATTTTCTTTGGGTTTACTCTTTTAGGTCTTATCCCACAATGATGCAGGTTGCCAATCTCTTCTTGGTAATAAATACCTGTACAAGAAGATGGGGTTATTAGCCCTATTCTCCTGGAATGGGGAAGAAAGAGGGAGGTATATCAAGCCTATGACATATTCTACAACAATGAGGACCATTACTCTCGAGACTGCATTTGGTTGTATTTTTGTAGTAAGTTATATTCAGAGAAATTATGGGAAAGATTAGTTTATATACATGAATAATTATTTTTTATAAGAGCTACTGGATTTAAACCAAAATTAAAGACAAATTACCTTACTCTTCAGTAGTTTTATAACTGTCAATGTTGATAAAATAATTGAAGATTTGGATACATCTACCACAGTTCTAACTGTGTTAACTGTTGATTGTAGATTCTGAGGGTGTGGAGGGCGGACAGTAACTGGTACAGCACCCACATACAAGCAGCCATAAAATGCTGCTATTAGATCCACCCCAGGTGGGTATATAAGTGCTACATGGTCACTAGTGTTTATGTGACCTTTCTCCAGCAGCAGGCAACCCACACGTTCTGCTTTTTTGTGGAGTTGGGCACAGGTAAGGGATGTAGCCACCTGTCCCTTGGAATTGAGGAGCGTCAGAATTTCATGGTTTTCTGTGGTTGAGGCTCAGCATTTGAGAATATCAGCAATGAACTGAGGATGCTGAAAAAAAAAGACTGAGTGCATCATACTGTATACAGTACTATATGTACTAAAGCATAAGCCACATGAAAATAAAGTGAGAATGAAACAAATTTAACAAAAAATAGTTTTGTGATTGTCCATCTTTGATACATGTGTGGAGAGGGAGAGACTATTGATTACTCATATTTTGGTCTATTATCACTAATGTATCAATAATCTAAAATAAGAGCATCCCAGGTAACATAAACTGTATGTTACTTACCCTTCTCATACCATCTTCATTGTCCATGAGTCCCATATCTCGACCTTGTGCACTGGCTAACCTATTGCCTTGAACCAGGTTCCCCACCATTACACTGGCTGGACCAACATCTGTGAAGGAAGAAAATACCATGTGTTGAAATTGTTCAAGAAATGTCTTCAAATAGAAAGATAAAGACAAAATGCTCATTGTACTAACATTTTCAATCTTTATTTTTCTATTTTAGTGGCTATTATTAATGTCACTGGTTTTATTCAAGACAATATTTAGCTGAGATATATACAGAGCACAATCCTTTATGGCAAGAATGATAATTTTAATTTTAAAAACTATTTACATTTTTGGGGCAAACAATGAATAAAATAATGATTAGATATACAGTATATATATTTTTAACTACTGAACAGTTTCTAACAATATAGAGTATTTTACAACAATGAAGACAACATATAAACGACAAAAGCAATGCAGTCAGAAGCACGTAATACCATCTCACTGTTTCCCTATGGTTAATTCTGAAGAACTGAGAAGACAAGTTACTCTCATGCTCCATTGCTATGTAATGAATGGTATTTAATCTTTGGCAAAAATTATTACAATATCAACCAGTCATAACTAATTTTTGAAAGTCAATCACACTTTAGTAAATTGTGACAGAATTTTTCTCCCTTATCATGAACCTACACTTAATTAGCGTGATAGTATATCAAATAATTTTTGCCACGACTAAAATTACAAGTAGTGTACAGTACATGTAATATAATTTTAATTACTTCTAACTTCTTTTGTGGCAGAGTATATGAAGTAATATTGAAATAGTTAAGTAATAACAACTGAATGAAGAGAATCAATATAAAAGAAGAACAAAAGTGTAAATGATATAGTTTTGCACAACACAAAGTTAGGAAGGGGTACTGCTAAAGGCTGATGACCAGTGTAAACACAGACACAGAAATGGTAAGGAAAGACATCATTACTGTACTGTATATGGAGTACAAATAAAAACAAATTAAAATATGGACATAATAAACAGTATATTGGATGATAGGAAAGTGAAGGTTGGCTGAAGGTTTATCTGACTGCCTGATAAAAATGTTCAAGCTGGTGGTATCGATACAGTGAATATCAGATGGTATTCTCAGACCTTCACTATATAAAGTCCTTGACCATGTATGACCAGCCTATACAGTACAATATAATATTTTCATGTTCTCAGATAAGTTGTTACCTAAACATCGCACTCTTCATGTGTTCCCATGAAAAATATTTTGTGTATAGTACTCCATTTTAAAAGTTTCGATGCATCAGTTGAGTTGAAAAACAGGAAAATATTGAAGGAGACCCCATTTCTACAATCACTATTGCAGTTATATAAACAGTAAAACCTCTCTCTAGCAGATGGCACTATGCTGACCACAAAATATCTCCGTTAGCCGGAACAATTGGTGCAGAGCACTTCCAGGAATGAGAGATTTCCGGGTAACAAAACAACTCTCCTAAAGCAGAAAAAATCCTAATCCCCGGAATTTTCTGGGTAACAGAAAAATGTTCTCTGAAGTTCCAGAAATTGCCCATTACATAATCTCTCAAGCCTGGAAAAATATCCCCCATCCCCGGAATTTCCGGGACCTGCAATTTTTTTTTGAATTTCCGGAAAATGTGCCCTAATTTTCATCTTCCGAATATTCTGCTTTTAAACGAGAGTTCTGGTTAAGAGAGATTACAGCTAATGGAGATATTACTACATAAAGTACTGTGCATTTAAAAATAAAAAACATAATGAAGACGTTTTACTAAATACATTTTTTCTTTTTTATCACAATGGAACTGGCATATTCTTGTGGGTTAAGGGAGGTGAATTATAATTTTTTACCAAACCCCTGTTAATTATACTGTACTCTACAATAAAACCTCCCAATACAATATTAAATACATATACTGTATACTGTAAAAGAATTCCATTATGTGCGTGATGAATATAAGATATTGCTAGCACCAGTCTTGCCATATGATTCAATAATTCTACCTTTCATTATGTGGATGATGACACTTACATGAGCTTGCCAAAGCATCAGCCTTGTTTTGCTGTCATAGATGACATTTTGAATGACAATGTGGATGCTTTGTAATAAAATGCAGGAAAGCTGGAAAGCTTTTGTTTAAAAATGTAATGTAAACTAACAAGTCACCAGAGAATTAGATTGTGAAGTATTGGTGGATTGGAAGAAAAGTTTCAAATGTTTGCTAGTAAAGTTTGATCCTCATGCAGGTGGCAAACGTAGGAGGCCAGCTAATAGTTGCCGAGTCTGATTCATATTTTTGTCAAAATCAATGTCTTGGGATGATTCAAATCATTAAAGTAAGATTTGCAAACTCAGGGGACTAGTGCACAACAATGATTCTAAGGAGTCCTGGTACAGCACAAACTATTATTGTGGAGTCATATGTCTACTATACAGATATGGTGATCAAACCTCCTCTACTATACAGATATGGTGATCAAACCTCCTCTACTATACAGATATATGATCAAACCTCCTCTACTATACAGATATGGTGATCAAACCTCCTCTACTATACAGATATGGTGATCAAACCTCCTCTACTATACAGATATGGTGATCAAACCTCCTACTATACAGATATGGTGATCAAACCTCCTCTACTATACAGATATGGTGATCAAACCTCTCTACTATACAGATGGTGATCAAACCTCTCATATGAATGGTGATCAAACCTCTACTATACAGATATGGTGATCAAACCTCCTCTACTATACAGATATGGTGATCAAACCTCCTCTACTATACAGATATGGTGATCAAACCTCCTCTACTATACAGATATGGTGATCAAACCTCCTTACTTTCCTTTACCTTTTATGACAATGAATATGCTCCATAAATCAAGAAAATATCCATTACAATGACAACTTTTTATCTAATTGTGCTATTAATGAATAAAAAAACACACATTAACGAACACAAGGCAATAGTTTAGGAAATAAGTTGAATTTAACTTTATTTTCGTTGTTCCATATGCAGATATGCAAAGTTTCATTATAAATTTTTTATATATAAATTTTTACCATTAAACTCAAACATATGACTGACATTATTATTATTATATAGATTACTGTGAAGGAGAAGCTGAGGAGCTTAAGTTTGTATGTACCAAGTGATTATAATAAAACAATGTTTTTTGGCAACTATATCCAAGAGAAGGGCTCTATGTCGAACACCAAATCACAGCACAACACCTCATCCCCACACATGTATTTTCCCTAGCTGCTATATCCAATAGTACAGTGCATTTTCTGTACAGTACTGTATAACCTATTTAAGAAATTACTAACTGGGAAAAAATTTAGAGCAGTGGTTCTTAACCTAAGAAGCACACCAAGGGGGGGGGGACAAGAGACTGAACATATTTGCATATTTCTGGCTCAGATTATTATTTTTATTCCCATTGAAAATAAATTTGTACAGATATATACAGTACAGGTACTACCCGACTTACGACGGGGTTAGGGACCGACATCCAGGTCGTAAGTCGAAAATGTCGTAAGTCGGAAATGCTTAAACAACACATAGAAAATAAAAAATGTGGGTCATTTTAAAATTTAGCCATCCAAGCTCTGTATACAAAGAGCTATTCAACTACTATTTTTGGCTCAATTATGTAACTTTATTCATTTATTGAAACTCATTTGCATGCACACACTGTCCTAAGAGCAAAGCTTTGTACAGTGAACCTCGCTTACGGTTTCACTTACGCGATGCTTTACATTCCGGGTACTTGCCAGAACCGACCTACTTTATGCAGTGCATCTACTCATATACGCAAAGTATAATTTTATTTAGCTCATAAAATTCATACAAACTATCCCAGAATATAATTTACATCGGAATTCTTACAATTGATGATCATTTTGAATAAAAGCATCATAGATTTTGCATTAGACATACAAATTTTAGATCTAATGCAAGTATTTTGTTAACTCTGAGCAAAATGTCATCTTTTGTGCAAAATATATGAAGTGTATATTCAAAATATTCCTGGTCTTGCAAGGAATCCAGCAATGTCAATTATATTATCCTAACTTTAGTCTGAGGTATTATTTATTACTAAAAATGTAAATATACTGTTATAACCCAATCATTTCTCTGGTAGGGAGGGAAGGTGGGGGTGAGGGGTAGGAGGAGGGAGGGACCCAGGGAGCAGGTGGGAAGAGGGGGGTGGGGTATTTTGATTGACAGATAGCATTTTGTAAGTATATTTTGTTTATTTATATTAGATATTTGTTTTAGCTCATAAAATTCATACAAATTACCGGGCCAGAATATAATTTACATTGCTGGAATTCTTACAATTTGATGATCATTTTGAATATAAACATCATAGATTTTGCATTAGACATACAAATTTTAGATTCACTTAAGTATTTTGTTTACTCTGAGTAAATATGTTATCTTTTGTGCAAAATATATGACATTTATATTCAAAATATTCCTGGTCTTACAAGGAATCCAGCAATGTCAATTATATTATCCTAACTTTAGTTTGAGGTATTATTTATTACTATACCTTAAAATCTAGTGGTTTTCCCCAAACATTTCTCAGAGAGGAAGAGCCAGGAGTGTGGAGAAGAGGGAAGGGAGTTGAGTCCATTATTTGAATGGACATTAACTTGGCGACTGTATTTCTCTATTTCTCTTAAGTATTAATTGTGTGCATGTACCATCATAAAATTAAGATGTTATTTTTACTAGAACATAGGTATTGTGTCAGAAAAAGTGGAGTTTGGGGGTCAGCCGGTCTCTATTTCATTTAATCCCATATGTTATGTTGTTGACTTTACGTTTTCAGGCCTCCGTGGGTTCAATTGACCGCAGAAAGTAAGGGTTCACTGTACCTTTAATTGAAATAATGTACAAAATGATTACTAAATTTTTTGTCTAGTGCAAACTATAGCCTGTTTACATTCAAATTAATCACTATCTTATAAGAATTCCAGCAATGTAAATTATATTCTCCCTGGTCACTTCTATGATATTTTATAAGCAAGAAACAAAACCTCAATCTAAAGGACATAAATAAACAAATA